TATATATATAGAACTATGATTGACGCTGAGACTGTGAATTTAATAAATTTGTTGTATGTGACACTTGGGAGATAAGAATGCCACAGGAACGAGTGTTGATAATATACATGATTGCGTTAATTTATTATTTTCCTCTCTATCTTTTTCTTCTCTTCCGATTTCATTCAATATTGTATTGTACGCGTTTGTCGGATAGATGTAAAATATATATATTCGTAGCGAGCGGATAAAAAGGATTTTATCATTATTATAATCATAAATAATTGTATTTTATTAATAACGTGACTATCATAATACGTATCTTCCATAAGATAGAAAATTTATAAGATCAGAGATTTACTGCCTCGTACATAATCTTCTTTAATTATTTTGTGTTCTATCTATTATAAATATAAAAATATTTTATCGTAGATTTATACAGGGTGTCTCAAAACTATCACTCATTTATATCTCGTCGAAAACATTCCGACATTAGAAGAAATGATTTTTTTTTTTCAATTTAGATTCCAGCATTCATATATAGTTTCGTAATGATGTTCATTCTCTTTGCGATATATGCTATGAAAATAATTTTTGATGTCCTTAAGTATACATATTATCTAACAAGTTATACATATCGTTTGATATAATAAAATTTTCATACATTCTCATTTTACTTTTTAGTATATCTATTTGCGATTCTAAGTGCGTGGGATATCATTATTTCTCTTTATGAGAAACATATCGGCGTGACGAGAAAGTAGAGACTCTCGAATTGAAATGAACAAAAATGTAAAAGCACAGTCAATAAAGAGTACTTGCACACATCTGAATTACAAATTGAATTAAAAACGAAATTCCTCTTCCTTCCTAAGACTTTTTCATATATATAATTGAACGACAAATATTTATTTTACGAAAAAAATTTATTTAATCTTTTAATTCTTAATATTAAATATAAATATAGATAAATAAGGAGGAGTATCTATATTATTATCATGAATATATAGAAAGACCGATAGAGGGAAGTAATTTGGTTAACGCTAGAGATTCATTCATTATATATTCATTATACAAATTAAATTATGCTGCATTGAACAGTTGCATATCATTAAATGTCATAATCGCCTATACGTCAGATTATTCGCATTGTATCATACATAAATAATAATGTTTAATGCCAATATGTAAATAATTAGCTTGCTGCGATTGATGTCATACTTCAATACAAATGTTACATTGACATATATTGCGGATTCGAAACGTGTTTGAATACATATTTTATACTTTATGTGTAATGTAATAACATATAATATATATATACAATATAACACAATTATTACTTATATATAATATATAAAATATTGTAAATATTGTTTTATATATATATATATATATATATATCAGAAAAATTAAATGTGCGATTAACTATCGATAAAATAACGGTGACCTATTTGTGGTTTCGCTGTTGGTTAATCGATTTCCTTCGAAAACAGGAAAATCTGTAAACACAGAATCCGGTTTAAGCGCGATGTTTTCGTTGTTTATCCTTCCTACTTGCATACTATCCTGTATTTCATGAACGGATCCTGCGGTCGCTTGAAGACGACCATCGTTTATCGTCGACAAACCGCTGTATCCTTCGTGATTCTCCCATAAATACCGGTATCAAAGTACTCAGCAACGTAAAGACTTATACGTTGTCTCAGAAGCAACGTCGTGATCCTTTTGTTTCCATTATAGTTTCTGTTATAGTAGTTTCGATTCCGAAGTGTACGGTTGCGTGATTGTCAATTTTGTCAAGTTAGTGCACGTACTTGTTGATTGTCAAAATGGGAAGCAAGAAATCGGATATTCTATATCTATTTGATCGACCGGCGGAGCCAGTGTACGTACCCAAGGGAGAAAACAAAGTCGCTTTTGATGTACCAGCTAACTACTTGGTAAGCTTGATCGGTCTTATTACATATCAATATTGAATTCCATGACATCAGTTTGATGTTGTTCTGCGCAGTTCACAGAACTTGAAATATCTTGGGCGTTTAAGATTAAGCCTTAGATCGTAATGTACGATCGGGGATATAAGATTTCTAGTTTCACGAAATAAAATGTAAGTTTTCTAGTTACACGAAATAGTTTCACGAAATAAAAGACTATTTCTCAAGTCCTATACTCCCTTCTTATTTCTTGAATATAAGAATTCTTAGAAATCTGCAATACAAAATTTATTTACATTATTCAATAATCTATAAAAACAAAAAGAACGCTTTGAACGAAGAAAAAATATTTTTTCATTAATGTTATTTAATCGATCATATACAAATTTTTATATATAAACTTCATTTTTTTATAACATATTTACAGCCTGAATCTCGGCAACAGATGGCTCCTGCCATTGTAAGTCGTTTCGCCGACGATACCTCGTCAAAAGTTCCAGTGAAGCAAATCAGTCTACCTGACTTAAGTATCCCTCTTCAACTTGGACGTCGAGAACCTTTCTCTCTTTTCATTCCTAAACATCGAAAATTAGCCGCGCGACTTATTGATATCTTCTTGGGTTTGTTTCCGATTTATATTATGTTTTATATTATGTTTTATATTATGTTTTATTTACTTCATTTGCCAAATTGTATATAAATTTCACTTCCATTTGCGAGTCAATTTAGAAATAGATATATGTATTTGTCAAATATTAAATTTGTCAATCTAAGATGTTTGTTAAGATCGATAAATAATCAGCGCGCAATTTACTTAATTTGAAAGTTGTAAAAATTCGTAAAAATATTATCAGACACCCAAACTTGTCTTGACCGAATTATATGGCCTTTTTTTTTGCATTAAATTTTTCTTTTGTAAAAAAATATAGATTAATTAAATTAGATTAATTAATTGCATTACATATATTATTACAGTAAGTTATACACTGTTATATACTGTTATGCTCATGTAAACTTTATTTAAGCACAAGTCTCATTGATTATTTATTAATATGTGTTATAGGTATGCGAACGTATGATGACTTTCTTTCGGTATCGGTTTACTGTCGCGATCGCGTTAATCCCCAGATGTTCATCTACGCACTCTCGGTGGCGATCCTGAATCGTCCAGATACCAAGAATCTACCGATACCACCGCTATCAGAAATTTTCCCGGACAAGTACATAGACAGTGGAATATTTGCCAGGGCGAGAGAGGAAGCCAACGTTGTACCGGCTGGCTCCAGGGTACTTGTTCTCTAATGCATTAATTACCAACAGGCTCGTTACTCAATCGTGCTGTTTAATTAGCTGGCTTATTCTTTGAATCAAAGGCAAATGATGACAAGATAAATTAAGTAAACGTGGAAAGTTTCTTCGTTTTAACAACAATTTTCATCTTTAAGTTTCGGAGAATATAAGGCGAGACAATGAAACGAATAATCATATTCTGTAATAGCTTAAGTAATTTACATACAATCTATTATAGTATAAAACTAATGAAATGTATTTAGCTGCTTGACCGCAATTTTCCGAAATTTTCATAATTTAGATCACATTATTGAATTTGTACAATAACCCATCAATTTTCAGCATTCTCATTAATCACCCTTTAACTGAAAAGTTATAGTGTATAAATTGTTATAATACAATGATGGAAGATGTAATAGGTCGATCTAACGAGTGCCGTTTTATATTAATTTTCAACGCAAAAGTCGTTTTATCGTCTCGTTATCCTTGCAATTCAAAGGTGCCTATTGAAATTCCGCGGGATTATACCGCGTCGGATCTTGACGAGGAACATCGCGTAGCTTACTGGAGGGAAGATATTGGGATTAATCTTCATCACTGGCACTGGCATCTGGTCTATCCATTTGAGACCGACATCAGGATTGTTAACAAGGATCGGCGTGGCGAGCTATTCTACTATATGCACCATCAGATCCAAGCCAGGTAAGTGCGCCAGCGAGCGCACGTAAGGCATGATATAAGATTGGATATTCTATTCTACCGTGCCTAGATCGT